ACGTGATTTTCCCTTCCCCGAGAGCCTCCGCGAAGCTTGCGATGATTACTACCTGAATAACTACATTCGGTGGTATTCGACCGAGCCTTTCGCAGCCGCCAATGGGCAAATACCGCAGTTGAACATATGGGATGACCACGACATTATTGACGGCTTCGGGTCGTACGTCAATGAGTTTATGAAGTGTGACGTCTTCCGTGGTATTGGCGGTACTGCTCACAAATACTACATGTTGTTCCAGCATCACTTAGCGCCACCAGCCTCGACATACACATCAGATTCTCCAGCAACTGCAGAACACGGGGGAGACCAGGACCCGAAGCAACTCATAGACACGTATGTTAGGCAGCAAGCCTTCGATTCATCATATATCATCGGTAGCAGGCCTGGGCCATATGTCGCCGAGCACTCCATGAACATGTTTAGCAAGCTTGGCGCTAGAATTGCATTCTTGGGTATTGATGCTCGTACCGAGCGTACACGACATCAAGTTAACTACCCTGAGACGTATGACCTCATTTTCGGTCGTGTGAGGGATGAGCTTGGAGCAGCAGCAGCAACAGGCCAACCCTTTAGACACTTGATTCTGTTATTAGGAATCCCTATTGCCTATCCGGTATGCTTGCCGTACATTCCGAATCATAGCAATGAGCTAACAGTGCTAGCGACTCACCTGGCTTGAGAACGTATTCAGCAGCCCCTTGATTGCGCCCGTCAAGTTCCTAAACCGAAGATTCGGATTCGGTAAGTACACTTTGGACCAGTTTAACTATCGTGGTTATTCATGATTGTAATAGGTGGTGGTGTTTTCAATCACTTCGACGGTAGCGTGGATCTCCTTGATGACTTGGACGACCACTACACGGCTAGAACCCATAAAAAGGAGCGAAATGCTCTTGTTAAGCGGCTCCAAACCATCTGCTCAGAGTTCTCGATCCGACTCACCATCCTTGGAGGCGATGTCCATCTGGCCGCTCTTGGACGATTTTACTCAAACCCCAACTTACATATTCCTGTCGAGCAAGACCATCGTTATATAGTCAACGTGGTCTCCTCCGCGATAGTTAACAAGCCCCCGCCGGCAGCAATTGCCAACCTACTCGCGAGTAGGAATAAGATCCATCATCTCGATGCGGACACGGATGAGACGCTCATGGCGCTCTTCGATAAGGATCCTGGCAATTCTAACAAGACACGATCTTCGAACAATGTTACTATGCCCAGCCGAAACTACGCCATTCTCACAGAAAACTCGCCGAACAATGACCCTGCACATACTGAGGGCTTCACAGAAACGCCTTTTGGCAATCCATCAGACAACAAGTTCGATGGTAAGAATGGGCACTCATACCTGTCCCACGGCGAGTTCGGCGCAGGTACCAAACACAAGGCGGCGAACCCCCAGACGCATGGCAAGAGCAACGATGGCGCGCTTGATGTATGCATTCGGGTAGAAATCGACCAGCATGACAAAGACGGCAACACTGAGCCGTATGGTCTATCGATTCCAACTCTTGACTACCAGGCCGGGAAGTACGGTACCAACGTGCATTCTCATCATCTGCATCACCGAAGCCGACCGGGTACGTCTGGCGCCGCGAGCACTATCCCAGCAAGCAGCATACCCTCGTTACCTGGCTCGGTGCCCTCAGTGCCTGAAGTACCTCAGGGTGCTCACTAGAGGCGAGCCTAGTCGGGTGGTTGTTGTCGGTGCACACGAAAGCGTGTCTTGCTTCGCAATTAGCGCGAGGCGGTTTATGTCGGGGTGCTAGCTATATAGTTCACAGCCAAGACGACGGGCGGATATACATGTTGAGTATAATAGTGGAGCCGCGATCCTCCACGGGCCTTGGCCTAGGGCCTATTAGCTCGAGAGTAGACGAAGCAATTAGGCGGGCATGGCATAATACATCCAGATTCAAAGGAGAAGAAAGAAAAATACCCCAGGGAGAGGAGTACTGTGATGCATTTTTCTTGAGGCCCTGTGGATAGGTTCTGTACTTTAACTCTTACTACTGATAATACTGTTTGCAGCACGTTCTAGTGTGAAGATCGAATATGTTTCTACATTATTCCGTCGTTCCTATGATTTCGGAGATCTGCGTGTGCCTCGATCACCCCCACAGGTTCGCGAGTCAATAATACCTAATAGAGACTGGTTCGGCTCGGGCTGCCGAAGTTGTAAGGCGGCAGGCGGCTCAGAAGCTCATGCCGAATTCGGCTCGCCCACAGCAAATATCTGGCCTCTCATTGGCCAGTCCTTTCAATTGGGATCTCGCAGCATCTTTGCCCCGCAAAGTCGTCCGTTATGCCGTGACAAAGCGAGCGCATACATCATTATCATCGGAGTAGAAGCGCCGATGAAGCTTTATCCATTGAGGTATAATACCTGATAAGTTAGCTACCTGTATTGGATGTAATTCCTGGTGCCAACCGAATTGTTGCAATTTGGTAACATCCCGAGATACCCTTCTCACTGCAGCTTCGACGTAGATCTTCAGCCACTACTGCTGCAATTGGGAGTCTGCGCTGGTAAACTAAGCCGAGCGGCAATTGTTCCCATCTTGCTTCTTTTCCTCGATATGGCCGCCGCACCGAGAGGCTACGGCCTCGCAAGGGCCTTGCAGAGCCCTACTCTATCTTCAAGAGTCTGTTCACGATGTCTGCCAGCTCTTCGATCCTCTAGGAATGTGAGGGCCTTGAGCACGACGAGCGCTAGGATGACGACGTTGGCTACTTTCAAGATACCCAAGGTCTCAAACGAGCCGAACGTACGTTGCCCACACATCCTTTGCAATCTGTTGAATCGTTTTGGGGTGGGAGCAAGTGGTTAACAAGACGTATAGCAACACTATGTGAAGGGCTCAGCACAAAGAGAAGGTCTCCTAGCTGCAGTTGCGGCTCAACAGAAGAAAGGCACAATAGAAATCCCGCTCTTTATAGGGGGTAAAGAGGTATGTGCAAATTCCAATGTCTATCTACATTGCTGCTCAACAGCTAACCTGTTAGACAGGTCAAAACATCACAAAAGTCCACGCAATACAACCCATCCGATCACGCCACTGCCATTGCGAATTATTCTCTTGCCAGTCCCTCCGACGTCAACACCGCCATCGAGGCAGCCTTAGCCGCCAAGCCGGAGTGGGAGTCTCTTCCCTTTGCCGACAGGGCGGCCGTTTTCCTCAAGGCGGCCGATCTCATCTCCACGAAGTACCGATACGAGATTATGGCCACTACCATACTCGGCCAGGGTAAGAACGCATGGCAGGCCGAGATCGACGCCGCGGCTGAGCTGTGTGATTTCTTCCGTTTCAACGTCCAGTACGCCGAGGAGCTATACGCGCAACAGCCCGCGCACAACTCGGCTGGCCTGTGGAACCGCATCGAGTATAGACCCCTGGAGGGCTTCGTGTACACCGTCAGCCCCTTTAATTTCACCGCCATCGGAGGTAACCTAGCCGGACTGCCGGCGCTGCTAGGCAACGTGGTGATCTGGAAGCCTTCCGACTCCGCCGTTGCCGCGGCTCACCTGGTACACAAGATCCTGCTTGAAGCTGGCTTGCCGGAGAATGTTATCCAGTTCGTGCCCGGAAACCCTGAGGAGGTGACTAAAACAGTTCTTGCGCACAAGCAATTCGCTGCGCTACACTACACGGGCAGCACGGCCGTGTTCCGCAAGCTGTATGGACAGATCGGCCAGGGCATTTCCGAGGGGCGTTATATCGGATACCCGCGCATTGTGGGCGAGACAGGCGGCAAGAACTTCCATCTCATCCACCCGTCGGCCGACGTCCAGAACGCCGTGGTCCACACCGTCCGCGGCGCCTTCGAGTACTCGGGCCAGAAGTGCAGCGCCACCAGCCGGCTCTTCGTAGCCAAATCCATCTGGCCGGAGTTCAAGTCGAAGCTCGTGAAAGAAACCGAAGCGCTCAAGGTCGGCGCGCCCTGGGAACCCAAGACGTTCATCGGCCCCGTGATCCACGAGCCCAGCTTCAAGAAGCTGTCCGGCGTCATCGACGACGCCAAGAACGACCCCGAGCTCCAGCTCCTCGCCGGCGGCAAGTACGACGGCACCAAGGGCTACTTCGTCCACCCGACCATCTACCAGACGACGAACCCGGCGCACCCGCTGCTCAGCAGGGAGCTGTTCGGCCCCGTCCTCACGGTGTACGTGTACGACGACAACGCGAAGGGCGGCAGTCCCGAGCAGGCCTTTAAGGAGGTGTGCGAGCTCGTCGACCGCACGAGCGAGTACGGGCTCACGGGGTCCGTGTTCGCGTCGGACCGAAGGGCCATTCGCGCGGCGGAGGACGCGCTGCGCAACGCCGCGGGGAATTTCTACGTCAACTGTAAGAGCACGGGCGCGGTGGTGGGCCAGCAGCCGTTTGGGGGCGCGAGGGCGAGTGGTACCAATGATAAGGCGGGCAGCGTGAATATTGTGAGCAGGTTCGTCAGCTTGAGGAGTATTAAGGAGGAGTTCGTGCCGAGTACCGCGGTGGAGTATCCTAGTAATGAGGTTTAGGGGACCGGGAGGAGGAATAAGGGTAAAGAGTTGGGGACTATGGAATAAGGACTGGGGACTGGGGGATGGGGCCTGCATAAGTTGAAGATCTAAAACCGAGGTCATAAGGTACGGCTGGAAAGGGTGGTTTTATTATGAGCGACTGCTCTATATTGAACACTCGAGGTAAATTAAAATATTTTGCTATATTAGCATGTAGAATGATAATGAGTTATGGACATTTGGCTACTTTAAATGCCTCTCGAAAGCACTACTTTCTCATAAGCTACTGTTCGTAGTCTATTCATTACGATTAAGTCATCTCCAGCATTAAATAGTGATTTACCACTTAATAATTGTAAAGGGGTAGAGGCGAGAAAAAGTAGACTGCAACTCATCAACACGATCCTTACCTGATAACAAGGGACGGTTCCTCAGGGCCATGGGGCCCGCCAGAGAGAACAACAAAAGAAAGGAAAAAAAGAAAAAGAGAAAGTTCTACCATTACGGGGGTTCGAACCCCGGTCTCCAGAAATCTCAAATTGATATTGTAAGGTATCTTGAAAATCTGGCATCCTAAACCACTAGACGATAATGGTTGTTTCATTGGCTGTTGAATTGCTGCCTTCCTATTACCGTTTATAAGATCGATGTTTGTCCTCTGAAGACGGGTAGGTACATTCTCGTAAAGACAGTTTAGGTCTGGTCTACGAAGTGCTTAAAGTTTTACCCCTGATGGACCATATAGTATGAATTCATAACTTATACAGGCTGAGGATTGTATCAGTGCATATCCATATACTCATCGCTACCGAGGAACCCAAGTCTTACGGCCTAACAAGAAGAGCAACACCGGTGAATCGCTAAAATGATATTTTCAGCAGATACATCATAATAATGGCGTACAATGCTACACTTAGGAACGTGTCCGTAAAGCTGGCCGCGCTTATTGATGTGACACGGTCGTACACAAGTACTACGTGATACACAAACGGCAATCTTAGAACTCGAGGCGTATGTCGTAATGCCATGCCACATGTATCACTTAATGGCAAGTAAGCCTTACCACTCGTTGCACGTGTGGCCTTGCATATGTGCTACCTATGGGAATCCGGTGACAGGATCTGATTAGTATGAGACAGATACGAGGACGTGTCGGGCCGGAAAATTACGTACTTTAGGTAGATAATCGTGAACGGCAGAATAGGAAACTTGTGTGAAGAATTCCGTCCTAGCAGGAGTTTACTGCACTATGGGAGAACGCGCCGGCTGATGACGATACCAAGAAAGAGGTATCCATAACACTCACAGCAAATACAGATGGACGACTTTCATGAGCCATGTTCTTCAAAGCGGATGATAAAAGTCTGAGAATGATCTTAGTGTCCATGTCTTCAGATGGTCTGTTTTGTACCATGGTCTCCAAATCGAGAAACGTGAAGAGTCCATCGTAGATGGCCCAAGATAGCCGGATCCTTTAAAATACTAAAAGATAACTGACGATATGGGGTTGAGGATTGATCCTATTGCTCTACAGCAGTTTAGACTTTTTCTTCATTATTATCATTTCCACCAAGTTATCCCCCTTGGTGTTCGTGATGATGGGCCCCTTGAGCTGGATTCGGCGACAGCTGGATACTCGTATGGGATATCATCATCTGAGCAACAGTACGGATCAATTCCAGAAAGCAGACGATACTGATCCACCGGAGCTTCACAACGATGCCGATATCAGCGAACTCCAATCTACGCCGAAGAAGCGCCTAGCAATAGGAAGCCATTTTAAGAAACTTGTGGTGCTTCTACCTAGCTTTCTTCACCCTAGTGACCCTAATGCATCTCCGAGAAATCTCCATAAGACAGCTTGGTTGGGTGAGTATTGTCAGCATGCACCTTAAATCTAAAAGAGGACCCTAATGATAGGAGAAGACGGCCTACGAGGTATAGCGGCATTCTTCGTGGTGTGGCATCACATTTCCCTTATATGGTTCTCATGGGACATCCACAACGGATGGACCAGTTTCAGCGACCCATTTATCAGATTTCCCATCATACGACTCACGATATCGGGTCTCCCCAATGTCATGGTGTTCTTCGTGATATCGGGTTACGCTCTTAGCTACAAGCCCCTGAGCCTACTACGCCAAGACCGGCTCCTAGATGTGTACCATGCCCTGGCGTCGTCTGCGTTTAGACGACACCCGCGGCTCTTCTTACCGGCGGTCATGCTCTGCCTCCCTTGCATATTCATAGCTTACCTAGGATTATACGGGGATGGAGAGCGCATGCCTGGAGCTGCAGTCCCGACGCTAGATCCGCCGCGCTGCGACACGTTATGGCAGCAAAGTCTGGACTATGCCAACGCCGTTGTGCGCCTGTGCGACCCCTTTACAGGCGATGGGATGGGGTGGGTTTACAACAATGCGCTATGGACACTACCAATCGAGTTTCGCAGCTCGCTCGTCGTGTTCGGGTTGCTGCTAGCGCTGTCAAGAGTTGGCAATGGCGTTAGAGTGTTTATCGAGCTCGGAGTGGCGCTATATTGCCTCTGTTTCATTCACTGGGCTGAATTTCTCTTTTTGGGAGGTATGTTGCTGGCAGATTTGCACTTTCACTTCTCTGAGCACAGGGAGTGCGATGGATCTAGAGGCCCTGAAGCGAAAATACGGTGGCGCTGTTCGCGGGTTATAGTGTCGGCCGTGCATTGGTGTTGGCGATGGGTGATGAGCTGCCATATACTGAAAGTACTGGCCCCCTTGGCTTCGTTTCTAGGGGCGCTCTATCTGCTGGGGATGCCGAAGTTGGAACGCGGCGGAGCCGAGACCCCTGGTTTCGAGGCCCTTGCCTCACTGATTCCGGAGCGATGGCGGGCAGCCGGGTCCCCGGATCACTTCTGGCCCTCGCTAGCCGCGGTTTGGCTGGTATTATCTATTGAATGTGCGCCGTTCTTACAGCGAGTGTTCACTTGCCGCTTTGCGCAATACCTTGGGCGGATATCCTACTCGCTCTATCTTGTACACTTGGTTATCCTGCATAGCTTTGGCTTCCGGATGGGCAAGTTTCTCGTGGGACTAACGGGATCCGACACGGAGTTGCGGTATTTCACAGGGATCTTAGGTACCTCAGTTGCTTTCTGGTTTGTTACGATTTGGGTTGCAGATCTGGGCTGGCGGTTTGTCGATGCGAAGGTAGTTCGCTTCTCGTCCTGGACGTATAATTGGCTTTGCACTTAAGGGTACCTCTTAGTGGAGGACTTAATCAACATAATATATACGCCTTCGTACGGTCACATTCATGCGGGTAGGGTCGGCGCCACTAGTATTGCTGGTTTTTCCTGGGTTTCCTGGTCAGCCACTGTACGAGGGACCAAACCGTGACGTACTGGGGTCGACCGTAGTATCCTTAGTCGCGATTTTATCGCTGGGCTTCTGGGCAGTTCAGCTGGCCGATCTGTTCCAACGTCCGAGGACCCGAGTTTTATGAGGATATTGTGCCAACCTGGAGATCTTTATGAAGAATCTCCTATAACAGGAGTTGGTCGTGTCTAGCAATGTGGAATTTTAGTGTGGCAGTGGTGGCAGTGGAATCGCGATAGGCGATTCTTGATCAGGATCGTCGGGTTACACAATAAGCATCGTAAAACTCGAGCAGAGGCGCTGAGGCTGACTTATGACCCCGCTTTAACTTTCAGATTATTCTGAAATGATACTTTACAGACATCTTCCGTCTAGCTCCTATTGACCTTGCTGCGTACCTCTTTCAGCGATACCTATATCTTATAGAGCCTGTCATAGGTAGCGAGGTTTAAAGGGGCCACTGCCAAAACCACCCCCGCCACCTTCCCAGTCATGGTTGCGTGGCGTGAGATGTCCGTCAATGACATCGAAGGCCTCCTACGTGTTGCCGATGAGATTCACCCCGGCCTCCCAGAAAGCAAGGAGGTTTTCACGGAACGCGTGAAACTCTTCCCGGAAGGGTGCTTAGTCCTTGTGGAAGATAATGAGGTCTGTGGCTATTCCATTTCGCATCCAATCCGCCACCGCCAGCCTCCCGCCTTAGACAGTTTACTTGGAGAGATATCTCCCAACGCAGACCAGTATTATATCCACGATATCGCTATCCTACCAAAGTTTCGCGGACAGGGGTTAGCAGCAGAGTGTATCAAGAAGCTTCTTGCAGTCGCCAAGCGCTATCCAACGACGTGTCTCGTCTCTGTCTACGGTACTGCACCGTTTTGGGCCCGCTATGGCTTCGGGCCTCAGCCGATCGATGCGGCTTTATCGGAAAAGCTGCGCGAGTACGGAGCTGATGCCGCGTATCTCTCCCGCCAAAACGATCTCGATTGTAGCCGACTAGGGGTGCACCCGGACTGTGTCTAGGCACACACTACTTACAGTATGGTATTTACCTTGAAGGAAAAGGCTTGTGCATATGTCTTGATTAACGAGGCCAGATATACGATTGCTGCATCTGGACTTATTACTAGTTCATCTCTATGTGATATATCGATTAGAAGCAGGCTAGTTTCAAAGATTGGGCTCTCGACTCACGCAACAACGTCTATTGGCCTCTGAAAACGATGGTTCTTAGAAGTGGTGGGCTAAAGTGCTTCTTGATCAAGAATATGGTATCAAGTTATATTGTTTTTATTACTTCATAATTCGGAAATCATTGCATCGAATTGAATGATTGCCGTAATGCCCTGAGCATCCATTACCTACCAGCAATGGGATGTTAAAACTCAAGTCATACAAAGGCTCGCCACCCTAGTATTCTTCCCTATGCCATCCTAATCTACATTTCGTAGCCTAAAGTCGCTCGCTCCATTTGATTACCCTTAAAAGAAAGGATATAGCTGCTAAGAAAGAAGAGGAAAGAAAGCCAGGCTCGCGGACCCCCACGATATTTACTGCACCTAGAGTATTTCATCTCTGTCTTGTACTGTCATAGGATGTTAGCTACTGCCACCCACGACCTGGTACTTAACTATCGAGGCTTCTATTAATAATGAATGCCAAAACCTTTGCGGCTCCATGATATCTCTGAACCATCCAGCAGATCCCTTTCGCAGGTTTCTTGTGGTGTTGATAGACGCCAGTCAAGAACTTCACTGCCCCTCGAAAGGACTTGCTGGCAATATGGTCGGGTTTTCCTCCAGCATAATCGCATCTAGGTGTTCGGGATCCGCTCCTTTAAGAAGAAGTAATCTCTTCACCTTAGGCGAGCCATTGTAAGAAGCCCAGTGTAAGAGGGTCCACTTGTCATCAACATCCTCGGCACCATAGATTGGACCAGACTTACTCGTCTCTTTACTGTCCACCTTCAGGTTATCGACAGGCTTGGTTCTTGAATCGGCTGCATCCCAAAAGACGTCGTTGCATCCTTCTAATTCAGCGTCGCGGCCTGTGTCAGAAAGCGCATCCACGAACATCTGGTATCGGTTGGGTCCTATATAGTAAGCAATATCAGAAGCGGTCAGCTCCCTGTAAGATAGCCCCGGGTCTTCCGGTAACGGGGCAGGAAGCGTTTTCTGATGCACATCAATACCGTTCTTCAATACAAGTCTCATGACGCAGGGAGCGCCAAAATAGGTACAGCA